CCTGGAAGTGTCCAAGGCCAGCCTGGAGCAACCTGGGCTAGTGGAAGGTGTCCCTGCCCATGGCAGGGGGTGAAGCTGGGTGATCTTCAAATTCCCTTCCAACCCAAACCATTACATGATTCTCTGATTCTGTTTTACCAAACTTTGGGGGTTTTTTGCCCCACAAGCCTTAAGGAGCTGCTCCAGACTCTGCCACAGTGCTTGGCGGAAAGAGGGGGAGAGGCAGCTGTGGGTCTCTGGTAATACCCGAGGGGTATTAAAAAATCTGTGTTTAAAACCTAAAAGCACTGAGAGCTGTGAAGACACTTGCACATAAATATGGTCTCCCTAAATCCTGCTTTTTCCTGAGCTGAGGGAATAAAAGAAATGCCCCATACACTGTAAGCAGTGTGGGTGTGGCCTGGGTCAAAGGGAATTCTTTTGGCCTGGTGGGATTTCACTCAGGTCGGTTCCTTCTCCAGCTGCAAGCTGCAGCTGGGCAGGTGTTTGGGGGATCAGGGCTGGTGGGGGGTTCAGGACAATGGGGGCGACAATGTTGGCTTTTGTGGTGGCTGAGCTGTGTCCCAGGGCCAGCTCCAGGACCTGGAGCTCTGGCAGACTTTGGGTTTTCACAGAAGAAACGACAGTGCCTTCTTTTGGAATGTGACTCTTTGTAGCACCCTTTGAGACCCTTGTCTTGTGGAGTGACATATTCTCCATGTATTTAGGAAGAAAATGGATTTTTAGGAAGAAATTGTCTCCATTGCAGGCTGAGCATGGGTGATTAAAAACCTCATCTGGCTGCAGCAAACGACCCATGAGCTTGTGGTTCCCTTTCCCTCCAGTCCTACAAAACTTCCCTCCTGGGCCATCCCACATCCCTGCCTGCTGTTGCCCTTGACAGCATCCCTTGTCTTTTCTTAGGTTTATCCCTGCCCTCCTTAAATTAGGTGCTGTTTTTGGACTGGGCTATTCCTGCTGGGTCTGTTTGTCCTCAGGTGATCCGGGCTCTGTTCCAGCCTCCACTTTACCTGGGCCCAGGTACCGTCCCTGGGGCGTTGTGGTGACACCCTGGTGTGGGATGTCACACCAGGCTCTGTCATAACCAGGGACAGCACCCAGGGAACGCCTGGAGCTGTGTTTAGGTTGGATCTCAGGGAAAGGTTCTTCCCCCAGAGGGTGGTTGGCACTGCCCAGGCTCCCCAGGGCAGTGGGCACA